AACACGTGCCTCGGCTTGGAACGTCGTTCGAACAAAAAAAAACTCTTTCTTCCTCGGGTTCTGGATAGTGTTCTTCATGAAGTGGTGGAGGTCACTTTATGACGATGATTGGCTCGTATTCTCAATCAAGAGTTTTTCCGCCGAAAACTATTTTATATTATACCCGAATATTATTATTATATTTTAATTTATTTAATGCAAAAATAATTATATCATACAAACTTTTCTACTGGTTTTATTTGAAAGTTTCAGAAAATCGATGTTTGAGATGTGTTGTAAGATTATAATCAATTATAATTCATTGTTATTTACTCTCAATTTATTTTAAATGTGAATCTCGGTAAAAGAGCAAGTAAGAAATCGTTTCGCACGCATTAATAGTAGCTGTATCAATAATCTTCTCGATACATGCTTAAAGATGCAGCACGTGCGTGTCTAGCGGGCGTAGAAATTCGCGTATAAATCACCGGTCCGCTTATCGGCGCTACCGTTTGCGTGCATGGGGCACTCTACACCTGCGGGTGTCACGCACGCCTGTCCCAAAATTAAAAGACAGTAAAGAAACTTTTGTTGCCGATATTTTATTCTGCGAGAATACGTGCCATCCTTTTTACAGGTCTTGCTTAATATTTTCACGAACCGTTTCAGCAATCGAAACTTATATCACTTAAATACTTATAAAATCTACTTGTGACATTATTGTGGTTAAGATTTACATTGTTTTCATGTAAATTCATCGCAATAACAATTTAACAAATATGAAAATTATAATCCAGTAAACCTTGAAGTCGATATTTCTTATGCAAATGATTGTCTCTGTACTAAAATGTATATCTCTAGACGAAGAACACAATCAGAATATTGAATATAAATATCCCAAGAACTTAAAGAGGATTAATAATCGAAAATGGGGCTCATAATCGGGGGAAAAGGCAGGGATATGACAGGCTTACAAAGAATCCACAATCGGGATTGATAATTTATAATAAGCCGCGGCGTAAACAAGACGGGGTAGAGCATAAATTTTGCAGGGAGTGCACCGATCGCGCCTGGGAGTTTAACGTCATTCCACTTGGCCGTGACCTTCGGTCGCAGTAACCGCGGACGAAGGCCACGTGTCGCGATGCGCGTGGAAAACGGTCGTCCGATACGCGAAATCGTAAATTCTCTTCGTCTTAGAGAGTTTATGCTTACCCCCCGCCGGAAAGCCGCTTGTATAATACGCGGGCGTGCCGAGTGTCTCGTCGAACAATTTTTCAAGCGACACTGTTCAGATGTTAAATCGGTATTTAAGCATCGACTCTTTACATCTCCGCCTCTTTTCGTGACTTTTGATTCGACATAATAGCGCAGCACACGTGGCGGATTTATCGCGTAACGGCCGAGTCGATAATTTATTACACGTGAACGCATCACGCGCTACATGTCCGGGAACAGAACGATGGCAGTAACTGGTGCTGGTCTTAAAAACGTGCCTCGTAAATGCAACGAGAAATATACACGCAATATATATTTTATCTGAAAAATATCAAAGTACAATATTCGCCGATAACATCTTTACATTATTAATCTTCAAACTGAATGGGAGAGACTTGTCTTCATTAGTCATTTGCACGCTCCGCTTGCGGCGATTAAAAGGAGAGAGATATTAGTAAAAAAAAAAAGACAGCTCAGCATTTACTTTATCGGAATTTATCGCAATCTTTATCGGAATCTTCGATCAGACTTCGAAGTAATCTCTCGTTAATGCTACACTTTACGCTAGTTTTCGTTAATCACGTACACGTGTTTAATTAAGCAAACCACACTACCGCGCCGATTTTCGTCACTTCCGCACGGTCCTCGCGTACTTTGTAGGTAGCATTGATTTTTAAACCGTTCTTTATTCAATTACCTTGAGCCTTTGTAATGGAGCGCGGGAGCGCTAATTAGAGACTGCCTGCCGATCGGCGTCGCGGATTAAGAAATCGCTTGCGCAGTGTCGTCAATACCATTTCGTTCATGCTGTTATTTACTCGCTCTGCGTATCTTAATTAACGTAGTGAATGGAAAGGTGGAACTCGGTGTTATTAATTCATATATGCTTTCATGTGTTAGCAATGAATGAAGAGGCTTGTGAAAAAATACTGCAATTCATGAATTCGCGAGATTTCAGTGGAAAACATTTAACGTAATATGTGTAAGATAGTTTGTAATATCTTATAAAATATATGTTTTCTATTAACATAAAAATTTCAAGACAATAACGTGAATCGCCTTCGGAAAATATTTACGTCAAAACGCGATTTCAATAAAGGACAATTGCACGTAAGAATTGCTTGATTTTATTTGATTCCCATGGCGCGTGCATTTTGTGCACTTTGCATTAAGATTACGTATGTAACTGTGATATTAGACGAGACGTCTAATCGTCCGCGAGAACCTTTCTTAGCGATCTTATGGTCTCGGTAGAATGATTCTCCCGCGAGTGCCGAAGCGTGATTAACTTTTCGAACGTTTGTAAAGATGAATTACTACACACAATTTAAAATTGTAATTTTGAGACACACCTGCCCACGTAACGGCACTACCGCGCGCGACGTAAACTCGAGCGAAGCAGAAGATTTGTGTGAAAAATATACGCGTGCGGTGTACGTGGCCGAGATAAGATTATATACGAGGGAAAGTAAATAATGAGACATTTTCAATTAATTTGGGAATAAAAAATGTTTCTTTACTTTTTTATTTTTCCTAGTAAATAAACACAGAAAAAAATATATATTTAGTCGATAAAATTATAAATTTTATATAAATAAAATCACACAAAGTAATCCTTAAATGTACATTTATAAAATCTGATTCTTTTTACGTGATACGTGAAATAATTCTTATATAACATGCAATTTTAAACATAAAATAATATGCGAGTCGTGGCTGTGTTGAAGTTATGTCATGGACTTTAAGGAATTAATGATTTATTTTATGTATAATTGTGCGAGCTCATAAAAAATTCGAACACGATCTCAATTCAGCATCCGCTCTCATTTCGCGCGAAGGTAAACGAAATGTACTTTATGCACCGATAAATCCCGTTTTATCGTGCGTGATTTTTCAACGGCGGCAGCTACTGAAAAAAATCGCGCAGTTACATGAGTTCTGCATTCCAGGTACATCACAAAATTTTACACTCGAAAAATGCGACACGCCATATCTCTCCGAAAAAATTCGCATAAATAAACCAGTTGCCGAGAACCAGATCACTTTGCGATCGGCAGTAATTCTCACGCGAATCAAATTAATTAATTGAATTGTCGAGTGTTGCTAACATACATCGATTCGTCGACAATTAATACACCCATGCAAAATATTTTACATTGATAACTTGATCCGGTTCATTCGCGTAATCCGCAGCTGAAACTTTGACTCGCGAAAAATAAGGCGAGAAATCAGCACAGGTGCGAGAGAAGATGTAAATATTCTCGGGCTATCAATCGAAAGAGCTTCATGAAGAAACTTTGTTAAATCTTTCTGTAAAATTAATTCATCAGAATTCTATAAATCGATTTTGAAAAATACATTTTATTTCAAAGGAACATATCGACGCTTAAATCTTTCTATTGTTAAAAATGAGTACATTACTTGCAAGTAATTAAATTGGTTCGTTCATAATAATTATTGTAATCGAATATTAATTATTAATCATATCGCTGTCAGATATCTTTTTGAAGAACAATTGATCATACGATCAATGCCATCAAGAAAAACTTAATTGGTAATTAATGAACTTCTTCAATGTACTTTGAAATTAACCTAAGAAACACCGTGGCTAATTACACTCGGCTTGCATGGTTATACATGTCGCGCATAATTGACATGGTATTCGCGCGAGCTGCAGCACGTGTACGCGTATGTTCCGTGAAGCAATCCTCGTTTCAATTAAATTTCTTTGATTTTTCGAAGGAACATCTTAATTCTCATTTTTTAAGGACTCACATCGTATCGTTCTTTAAACAGGGATTTAAGATAAATTTATATATGGATTAATTAAATGTCCAAAGAATTATTTCACCTGCATTATTATTTTTTAATTATAAACAATTCACGCATTTTAACGAGAGTCATCAATTTAAATCCAGACATTCGGCTATCCGATTACGTCAATTAAGTTCACTGTGACATTCGCTGGAACTTATGTAAATTCCATGTAGTACTCTCCCTTTCTCTCGCCTATAAACTGCATGGCTCACGAAATTTTCGCTTTGGTCTCATCTTACGTTACATTGCGTAAGAAAAAGCGTATAATCGTACGAGCAGGGACCGCGATAACTTAACATTCCGCGTTTGCATAATGAAAGTAGCACTCGCCCGCGACGACGACGTGCATTGTATACGTGTATACGCCGGGTATACTCGATGTAAGTATAGCGAGAGCACGGGCTAGATAACGACGGTATCCTTGACTCCAGCCGCGTACACACGTTGACGCGTGCACGCGCCGTATGTGAATGCCAGTCCGCACACGAGAGTGCACGCGTCGATTTTCGCGGCAGTCGGGACAATGCGTGCGATATTATGAAATTGCTCGTGTAACGCAACGAACGTTACTTGTCTTATCATCCTACACATTTTACTTTCTTTAGGTTTAGATATATTATTATATTCTGATAAAGTCGCGCTGTATGTGTGTAAAATATTTGAAATCTCACAATATTTGTGGATCAATAGTGATATTTGTACAACGTCCGAATCGACGTTTACATTACACGATGCATACATTTTAATTTTCATTATTATTATTATTATCGTTATTCTTTAATTCTAGAAAATATTTGACTATCCGATTTTAGAGTCCTCTTGTAAAGTCCAAATAATTTAAATGGCAACGAACACGTTGATAACAGTTTACGGGAGGAAACTTGCTCACTGCCGGATCTACCGCCGTCGACTACGCCCTCGCGAAAGCGTGTTATCGACCTCTCAGGACCCGATCGCTCGTAAAATAGCAATACGTGGGGACTTACCAGGAGAAGAAGCACCGTGCTCGTGGCGGTCGTGTCGACCGATATGCCGCACGCCATTTCTCGCGCTCTCGAACGAGGGGGTTGTCCGCTTCTCTACCAGATCATCCTGGACGCGTCGTCAGCTCTTAGCTCCCCGGGTTCTCCACCCGCGGCGACTCCTCGAGAGTCGAAGCCCGACGCTCACTTCTCCACTGCACAGAAGAGGAAAATCAGAATCACCAACCACGTCCTCGAATCGAGCTGTCTTTCTTCGCGACTCTCTCGTGCGAAAGAAAAAAAAAGAGAAACGCTCGCTCAGGAATCTATCGGTGGTGCTGATACGACGACTACGACGACGATTTAACGACACGGCTAAGCGGATAAAGGTCCGATCGGAGGTTGGATTACGGTCGATCACACTCGCTCTCGATCGCTACTCCCCGCGTTGCTGGCCTTTCGCCTCTCTCGGATTACGCCGATCACCGTCGATCGCTTGTCCGTCGCCGGTCTCGTAACGAAGACTGAAGGACGAGCTTGCCTCTGCCGAGAGCGGCACGGCTCGCGACCAGCTCGACACGTCGTCGTTCAAAGGTGACGATTATATGCGGTCCTAACCGTAGCACAGGGCTCGGGCAACTGACAGCGGGTCAGAGCCGCGGCACACGGCGCCACGCCGCTCTCACAGCTGATCCGAGAGAACCGATCGCCTCTACCCGCGTCCCCCTTCTTCCTTCCTTCGCGAAGGGGCCCGTTCTACCCTCTCTCTAATGCGCGATTCTCAATCTCCGCGCTGTACAGCGCCGCGACGCTGGCCCCTCCAATTGCGATGCTCCGATTCATCTCATCCGATCCCGGATTATACGCATACCTCATAAGAGCACAGATAGAATTGGCAAAAATAAATAAAGATACGTGGCTGATCGGGGTTAATGATATCTGATAAGATTTTATTATGGATATAATGATTTTTGTCATCGCAAAAAGGTGATATTAATATTTTGTGTAGTAATTATAGTAATTAATATAATATTTTATTTAATAATATATGATATTATTTATGAGTTCACAAACTGAAAATACTGGTATATATTATTTATCTACTTTTTATTAAAAAGTAAAAATCTCTAAATCATTTTTTTACTCTTGAAAATTATTATTGTTTTTACATTAACTATAAGAAAAGGCCTTTAATAATCGAGAAAACATCTTTTCCTTCGCATTCACGCAATTGAACTGCACGAATCTGTCTCCAGATCGGCCAGAAGAGATGTAGAACAATTAACAATTGATTTGTTTGCAAAACAAATCAGAAATATTAATGCGAACCTACATATGTTACATTTGTATCCCGGATTTGCGGATATTTCGCGGATATTTCGCCGTTGGTTTTACGAGCTTGCAAAAAAGAACGTATTAAAGGACGTTAATTAGCCGCGTAGCGCTCGTTACCGTAAGCCCGAAGGTCGCGAGTGAATTGATGAGAGCGATGCTCTGCAAAATACCCACATGCTGGGAATTATCGTCCACGTACCCCTAATAATTGCATTATTTCAGATATTTATCTCACGTCGTCTAACAATTATCACTTGTTTCTATCGTGTGATATTATTTATAAGCGTAGTACTGTCAAAAATTGATTTGAAGGAAAACAGTTCTGAAAGACGGATGACTCGCTCGTTATCTTTCAAGGCAAGCCGCGACTATCAAAAGACATAATAGATATTCATTCTTTCCAAATTATCCTTCTCAAATCGAAAATCAAAAGGCAGAAAGGGGCACGAGCTGCGAAATTCCCGGAACAGTGCGTGACTGTCAGTTCCGGCATTTCTCCAGCGTTACGAAGATGACGGCGATGACTGGCGCGGAATACAAAGCACATTTAACGAAATCCTTGTGCAACGGGCGCGGATGAATAACCGACCTTGCGAATGAGCGGGGACGACCTTCGCGTTGGCGCGCTCGCTAAGACAAGGATATATTCCGTCTTCTTCGGTTTTTCACGTCGGACGGGAGTCCGCGGGAGTCCGCGTTTCGAGTGCGGCTCAAATTACGCGCCCGGTTTTCAGATGTCCACGCTCGAGCACGCATAGCGTGAAGAAACGTGAAAATATACGTGCGCGATCTGCGATGATTAACCATGCGCGAATTTATTGGCGCCGTCTCGACGCGTCGTGACTTTATTTTCCCAACTTCATCCGGCTACTTCTTGTTTCCACGAGCAAGAAAAGATGTGACGGCAATATAATGAAAGGGTCGAGACAAACACTTCACGTTTCAGAATCTGCGCGCTCAAGAAGCTACGATAAACTTATTCCCCGGCTATCTTCGATAATATACTTGATCACAAGCAAATCTTTCCGCGCTGCAAAAAGTGTCCTACAAAAAAGGAAAATTGTTTACAAATTGTTAAATTTTTTTTGAAGGTTATTTTGCGAATACAAAATTTATGGAAAACAGGATTTTAAAAAGCAGATAAAAGATTTGAAATGTGTTTGTCGGAGAACGGAATTTTGAGTCGCTGCCTCTTCGAAGCAAATCATCGCTTTATCCTGCCGGGTATCGATTCGCTTGCGGTATTGGCGTATCTTGCGAGGATCGTCGTGCCTCCGCCGCAACGGAGATCGCGCGCGGCGCCGCTAAATTTCCCCTTTATCTGCATTACTCGCGTGCCTGTGCCCCGAGCTCGTGCTCGTCCGGGGCCGGTGCGCTTACTCGCGCTTTGCAGGAATTCGCGCGACGTGGAGAGGTCAGCTGCGACCTAGGCATACACATTGTGTATCCCCGCGTATTGTTCGCGATTTCGCTGGCGAAAGATCAAGATACGCACTCGATCGAACCCGAAGATCTATCCGAAGACAAGCTCCCGTAAAAATTGCTGCGATTGGGCGCTCACGCGGCGAGGTGATATTTTTAACCGCGTTCGATAATACTGTAGGAACGTCGGCATGCAGTATCCCGCCAACATCGAAACTTATAGAGGCAACATCGGGCCGGCGCAGCGCCCGATTGTAAATCTCCGCCTGAGATGAATACGTTGTATGCATGACTTCGAGGAATAACTTCATTTAATCGACGCGGTCTTAAATAAAGGCGGGAGATGGATGAGAGGAATAACAAACGTTTCTTCCTGTTTAAACATGCGGTGTTGGTAACGTGGAAAAGTTTGAACAAGAGCCCGTCAGTCTCGCCTTACGGTCCAGTTCCGCGCCGTAAAAACTCGTATTTATTCTCGGCGCAATTCTTCACGTCCGCGCGGACGATGTAATTGCATTCCGCGGCGACTACAATGTATCTGTAAGTCACTCGGCTCGCTTTCTCACGGAGAGCCGGGAAAAATATTGATCTCCGCAAAAGGGGATTCGTCTAACGATAGTCGGACTTTTGATTCTCACGAGATTCGCAAACACCGCATTCGCCTCTATAATGCGCCTTGATATATTATAATGTTGATTTTATTTTTCACTCATACATTCTTCAGGTTTCTTCAGTTATAGTCTCATAAAAATGGCTTGTTTACGTTGTCGAGATCGTATGAAATAAACAGTAAATGTCGCACCAATTGAGTTAGAAAAATGTGGTAAATTTAATGGTTTATTTTGATATCATGAAGATATCTGATAATCGTGTTACTGGATTAACAATGATAAAAACGACTCTGCTATAAATAAGCTATAAATGTTTAAGCATAAACTCATAAATTTCACGGCCAGAAGGCAGTTTAAATCGCAATTTTGTGATCGATTGCGATGTATTTGGCGAGATTATCAAGCAAGTTGTTTACGCAGAATTATTTATTCAATACGTGTCGCATCTGCGTTTAAAGTAGCACAAAGAAGCTTTGGTCAAACACATGAATTCGCTCAGAATGATTAATTGTGAAGTAATTTGAATATTAATGAATTATTGCGTTGCGGAAATCCTGAATCTTACAACGTCATCATAGAACAGATTTCGTATTTCTGCGTATTAGACATCGCGAAAATATGTCAAGGTTCCAGCATCAAGTTGCCGGAGATCGTTGAAAGTGAAACACGATGACGGGCCTTAATGGCACCGATATGTCCGGAAAGAATTTACTTCAGTCAATTGTGGCAAATTCCGTTCTTTGAATTATTCGCGATGTATCGTTTACGGTGATTCCCGGACCTTGAAATCTGTTCGATTCCGCGCTCGATGTGCGATCGAGCATTGCGTATGTCATTGAAGACTTCCGTGGTCACGTATCTCGTAAAAAGATCGAGTGATCATCGATCTTTTATCAAAATTATCGTGGTCGGCTAGTACGTTCGCAAAGAATACTCTTTCTAACATACATATATAAACAAATACGCACGCAAGCGGATATGACACAGATGGGAGAAATTGCAGCATGGAATATTTCCAATTTTAATGGCACATTACATTATTTCTGACGCGAGTAGCCTTGAATAATGCGTACATTCTCAGAAACTTTCGCTTTATATATTGATATCCGGTGATTCAGCGGGAAGCAGCTCAATTACACTCGGCTTCGCCGCAAGTGGTCCGCGAAGCTGCACGAATCGCTCGGCAATACTTGACAATTTTTGTGAAATAACATTTTCCGATGATAATGTCACGAAAGCATGACGGAAGATATTCCTTAAAATCATACAATCACAAATTGATCTAATCAATACGATTGTTAAGATAATTTTTATTCAAACTAATAAAATAATTACTATCTAATCAATTATTTTTATAATTGTTAAAAAAAATTGAATTTTGATTTAGAGACGGCAAAAACAGCACAAGCAAAATTCTATAAAACTAAGAATTAATTTAAAACTTTATCAAAGCTATATTTTTTAAAATAACTTTTCTATCCTTTCTCTAATCGTTATCTCGTTTCAAGGAATTGGCATCTCTATGCACATTATTAGCAAAGCGTCACAATTCGCCTGTACGACAAATAGTGATGCATACGCGATGCGGTTGCGCATACGAGGTCGAAGCAACTTCGCCACGGGCTATCTGTAACCATTAAGCGAGCGGGACGCCGGCTTGTTATAAATGGCGGTACATTCTTGAAATTAATCGGCGTGAGGATGCAAGACCGGACCTCGCGCGATGCGAGCCCCGCCGGCCAGTCTTGTGACACTTTTCATTATGTTTTCGTGAATCTCCACGTAAGACAGTAGCGGATCGCGGCCCAGAGATTGACATTAAGATTGGTGCTCGGCATTTAAC